AAAGATAAAATTGTTAAACGTTTACATTTTTTTTTAACCATATCTCTCATATACGCTGGAGATATTTCATAACAATTCATAGAAAAAAAACCACCTATTGTAAAGGTAGTCTTTGGCTTACATCCATCTGTTCAGTGACCATTGAATTTTCAATTGTATTGAACGAAGGGTATTTACAATGAGTCTTCCGAGTTCTGACCATCACAATATCCCTGACATAATGTGATTGTGATTTCTGGCATTCCTTGGTGGCTTCCCATAAGCAAAGTAAATGGGGAAGTTAGCAGGATGTTGGAAGTCACGGTCATGTGAAGTCCTCATTTAATAGCCTGCATGTGTCAGGCATGAACAATCAGATCCACACATGAAAACTTTAATTAGCCATTTTATTGTTCAAACCTGGAAATCTTCTCAGAGTGGCAGTTTGCACCTAGATTTGACTAGGTTCAACAACGTGTGTGTGTGGGGTGTGTGTGTGTGTGTTGGTGTGTGTGTGTGTGTGTGAGAGAGAGAAAGATTTTGCCATCTCATGCCAACATAAAGGTTCCAGGCTAATTTCCTATTTGACTCCTCCCACTGGCTTAGTCAGTCTCTTTCCAACCACATTGTCCTCACTTAATGACAGCAACAGGGATTGCCGTAACTTAAAGTCACTAAGTAGCATGGTCGTTGTGCATTATTATCAATTGTTTAGCAATAGCAGTTCTGTCCCCAACTGTTGTGGGTAACAAAGGACTCCCTGTAATTAACTAAATTATAATTTCACATTCTGGCTACTACCATGCAGCTCGGATGAATAAAGTATTATAGACATGAAACCCACCATTCAGCTTCCATGAAAACAAGTCATATGACCACAGTCCAGCCCAATTACTCAGCAAGCAGGGTTCCTATGTAACTTTCAAGGAAAACTGGAATCTGCTAACAAGTTTTGCCGAAGATACAGAAGCATTCAACAGAAGTTAATGTTCTGAATACACAACTCTTGGCTTTACAGACATAATAGAACATAAGTCCATCAATATTCTAGAATTTTTCTAAATATGATGAAAATATATACTAGTTTTTTTCAACCATTCAATTTCATTTTTTTTCCAATTTAGTTTACTGACAGACCAGTGCTAGCAAAGTGTTCTGTGGATATATTTTAGTAGATGATAAAATAAAGCTTAAGACAAAGTTAAAATGCAATTATAAAACAACCTAACATCTATAAGGGAGGTCAGCCTACATTATAATGTAACATTAAATTTACATTAAATATGATAATATGTAAAATTACCACAAAGTGATAATATCTAAAATTTAAATGAATTATGGTTATTTAGAATGCTCTGTGAAAGATTGAGCCACTGTGGCGCAGTGGTTAGAGTGCAGTACTGCAGGCTACTTCTGCTGCCTGCTGGCTCCCTGCAATTTGGCAGTTCAAATCTCACCAAGCTCAAGGTTGACTCAGCCTTCCATCCTTTCGAGGTGGGTAAAAAGAGGAGCCACATTGTTGGGGGCAATGTGCTGACTCTGTAAACCGCTTAGAGAGGGTTGTGAAGCAGCTTATAAATCAAAGTGCTGTTGCTATTGGCCCATCAGGGTCTAATGGATCTTTTGTGATGCTGCACAAAACCCTAGCTGCGCATACTATCATAAAAAGTAGTTCATCTATGAGCAGCCTCTGGTGAGCCTAGGCTGAATTTGGGTGATCAGGATATCTCCTAATCAGAGGTAGAAATTGAAACTGAAACCATTCTACAATACATTATTCTCATCAGTCTGACTCAGGGATACCTAGAAGTATGTTCAGTAACATAACCCACAAGATGGATGTACTTAAAAATTCAGTATTCTTTATTACTTGGCATTATTTAAATGCCAAAGTAACTCCCATCCTAAGAAAAGTGCCATACAAACAAGCAATGTGGTTGGACAATAGTGTTGATTCTATTTCTTCATCAAAAAGGGTTGCCTACCAAAACTCCCAATTTCTCTTTCATATCATAGGATCCCTGATGAGACCATCACCTGTTACAGAAGTAGTTAATTCATAGAACTGACCAGTTGACCCAGATGGAATACGTGAACTCTGAAAATTGCAAATAAATGAAGCAAGAAATGGCTAATCTTCCCTAACAGATAATCTCACCATCAGCTTCATTGATTTTATTTAATGCCAAAGAAACTACATTATGTTTGGTCTTACTAATTTGATATAGGCTAATTAAACCTTAGCCTGCAGAGGCTAAATGGTCCTCTCTATCTATATTAGGCATTACAGAAGACTCATGCCTGAGATGAAATAATGCTGAAGCATAGAGACAAAAAAAGTCCCTTTAGGGTAATATTGAGATACAGTGGATTTAAATAACTCCTGATTGTGTATTTCAGTTAAGGAAGAAGGAAATGTAAACAGAATGGCCAGAACTGAAACTAAAAAGTGTGAGATTTTCACAACTTAAAATATATTTTTTAAAAAGAAGTGGTGGTTGTGCTTCATTTACACTCTGGAAATGCACACATTTAAATACTCAGCATATTGTGTGTGTGTGTGTGTGTGTGTGTGTGTGTGTGTATAAATACTGATAGAAGATCATATTTGTAATTCAGAGTTGAACTATGAGGTCCTTGATCTACAGCACTGATGATGTTACCTAGTTGGGTAATGAAACGTCTACAAGAAAACAACCAAGCTCAGAAAGCACCAAGGAAATTGAAAAACAGTGTAGATATCAACAGCTTAACAAGGTTAACTTAGCAGGTACTAATGGTATCTCTGGGAATCAAAGATTGTTGGCTAATAATATGGAAGTCTAGCTTAGGACTGAAAGAAATTTGGCTTTAAAGATGGTTTAGAAATATTATAAATATATAGAATACATTTAATCTTCTTGATGGCCACACCCATGTTATATCAAGCCATACATTACTTACCACGAACCATTATGTTGCTCCTTGACTTCTTTAGCTAGTAGCAGAAGCAAGGCAAACTATATTATTTCCTCACTTTTTTTTTTGAACTAACAAAAAATCTGGGAATTCCTACTTGCTCCACTGCTTATTAGAAATGGATCTTCCCCAATAGCTTCAATATTATATAGTTTGGCTGAGACATATGATTCCTATGCTACTGTATCTGATCAGCATAAATCCATTTGATCACTAACTGGCAACAACATTTAAGCTTATTTTTATTACTATTTGTATCTCTTTGCTACCATCTAGTAAATGTTTGGATTTCTGCAACCTTGATATGGAAGACCTAACATTGCAGGTATTTTATCTGGGTTAATTCAATTATGTTTCTCTTGAAAGTCATTTAGCTACATTCCTTTAAATATTAATACTCTGATGTTCCTGATTTTGAAGATTCCAAATATACTTTCAGACAAAGATTACTAATTATTCAGTCACAAAAAGAAAGATAGCTTACTAAGAAAATTAAAAGCTACATTGACATAAAGATGCAAATAAAATAGGAAGTACAGTAATTTTTTATCACATATGGATTCTTTGCTTTGTGCTTCCCTTTTTTTGATTGTATCACCTCTCCGGCTCTTTCATTCTGGCTGCAGCTTCTGTTCTGTGATGTCATCAAAAGGAACCAGATTGAACTAGCTAGGAACTTGACAAAAGCTGCAAGGCCAAAAGTTTATCCTCAAATTGCTGATGAGCCACATCAAAAGTAGAGCAAGAGGCTGAAAATCCCTCATATGTTATGTACCAAAATATCAGCAAAAATAAACATCCAGCAAGTTATGCATGAAATACAGTAATCTTCTGGGTATCTAAAAGCCGTAATACAATTATACTTACTGTCTACAACTTCTATTTATCTGTCTATGCCGTAGGTACCAGGAAGAAATCTTTGTTAACAGAGCATTTTCACATTATGCATAGGGTGCTCTTTATAAATAAGAATTAATATTGTTTTCCAACTTTTTCCCTTCCTCTCCCCATAGGAATTATTTTATGTATAAATTAATTCTATTCCAATCAAAAGTATTCGAAATGTTTTGAAAAAGTGCTCTGTGCTTAGTGAAGGAAGATGTTCCGAAAAAATAATTTAAATTATATTTTTGGAATTGTTTGTGGACAACCAAAAGATAGATTCCCTCACACTCAACTTAATGGATCCAGAAAAACATTATAATTTCCCCTCTAACTTTATAAAATATAGAAAGGGTTTGCAACATCCTTTTTCTCATTTCCCAGACTAAACTTCCGTTTTCTGATTTCCTGGCTATGTTCTTATCCAAGTATGAATTGAATAGGATATATCTAGCTTTTGTGGTTAAATGTTACTAGCATATCACATTTGCAATAACACCAGAAATAGATACACCAGAACATGTAATTTGGATTAAGGTATTCAAATCCAAACTCCTAACACAGGCAGTGTCTTTTGTGCAGCTAAACAACGTATATTTAAAATACATTCTACCTGGCAATCCTGAATGCATATAACAGTGAACCTATACCTAGAGCCCAGAAGTTATTCAAATAACAGTACTGTACAAGGAAGATTAATACATTTCAGAAATATACTTCTGAAATACTTAACCTACACATAGCTACATTATAGTTCTTTGGTAGTTTCTTTTAAATCTGTTTTAAAAGCTTTCATATTTTACTTTGAAAAACCTCTTCCTCTGCTTTCCTAAATAAAATTTTCTGTAACAATAGGTTAGAAGCAATAAATATTTCCATGATACTGTATTTAGATATAATTACAAGAACATTGAAGACTAGCATAGTGCCTTTGTATATTTTTTATTGGAAGATCTGAAATGACAATCAAATCTTGCTATGAATATAAAACTGCATCTAGTATGGATGAGAAAAATGTAATTTTCCTATAAAGTTGAGTGGTTAATTACTGTAGAGTACACACAAGGGGAAAAAGAGGAGATTTTAATTTGGGTTTTTACAGCACCCATGTGGTTGCTAAGAGTCAACCCCAATTTGATGGCACATAACCATAATAACAATTGTGTGAAAAGGACACTTACATATATGGTCATCCATCTTCAGAGGCCGTTGCAAGCGGATATTAGCAGGAATTGTTCTATTGATCAGCTCATCAATAGTCTAAAAATACAAGGGAAACACCAAAGCATCATAAGAATCACCAGCAAGTTTAGACCTCCACTTCTTGTAAGATTCATAGTCAAAGAGGATAAAAGTGAGGCATGGTAAATGGAATTTCTCAAGAGGGTTGAGAAATGTTCATTAAGCCTCTCACTAACAAAAAGAGATTTTTGTGAAATTCCACTCACATTCTTCCTCCCTTTCGAATGGAGATCAGTTGATGTGACATGGTAGAAAATGATGTATGTGGGATGATGTGACTCAGAGGGAGAGGGATGCAAAGACAAAGCAAATCGGGTGCTGCTCCAGGGGGAAATGTTAGAGAAACTAGGGGGGCGGGGGAGGGAAGGAAGAAAGACAGAAAGCGTACGCGAGAACGAGAGAGACAGACGGAAGGAAAGAAAGAAAGAAAAGAAAGAAAGAAAGAAGGAAGGAAAGAAAGAAAGAAAGAGCGAGTACAAGTGGAGCTTCCTCACCGACAGACCGACGGTCTGCAGCATCTCTTGCTTCTCTTTGTCCCCTGGACCGATGTGCCGCTCGGAAAAGTCATCGTGCTTGCCCAGGAGTTTCTCGATGTGCCTGGAAGAGGTGGCGGCGGCGGCGGCGGCGGCGGCTCTCGCTCCGGGGTTGCTACTGCTTCTTCTCACACAAGCCAGTCTCAGCTGCTCCCTGCGTCCCCATCGGCCTGGCGGCTTCTTGCCTCCCCAGGCGCTGCTGCCATGGTGCCCGTGAAGACTGGCCCCCCGACCCACCAGCCTCCCCCACCACTGGACGCAAGACTGCATGATGCCTTGAAGAAGACGATGGCCCCCCAATTCGCCCCGGGGAAAGTTAGTTTGCGCCTCGAAGACTCTTTCCTCCGAGGCGCCCCCCCCTCCGACCCTTTTATAGCCCCCAAGCCGATCGTCAGCCGAAGGGAGGGCCTTTTGGCCCCGCCCTGCCTCAGATCTCCCCGCCGAAGCCACCTGCCGAGAAGCTGCCCCCTCGCCAGCCAATGCGCGCTCCTCCCAAGGCTGGATTGGACAGGACAGGACAGAACAAACGACGCGAAACTGGCCGTCGGCCACTTCCTCGCAGTCAGGCGTTATCCTCGTTGTTTCCCCTGGGTGAAAAGAGAGGTGACGACGCGGAGCATTGAAATGATTTTCTTTTTCTTTTTTCCTCCTTTCCCCTTCCCCCCTTCCCCCCTCCCCCATTTTTTCCTCCTACCCTAATTTTTCTTTTAATGTTTTCCACACACACACAAGGATCGCACTTGTTGCTGAAGAAATGCTCCTTAGTAACTCATTGTGCCAAAGGCAAATCTCCATAGCTGGTATAAGGATAACCCAACAATGAGTTTTGGAAGGTTTGTTCAGATGTCTCCACAAGTCTCTCTTGGCCACCAGCCACAGTTCTGCCACTGGAAAGACTGCGATGCTTGTCTTGATCTTCCAACTCAGTAAGCTGAAAGTAACAGCACAATTAATGTTATGAATCATAGGAGTTGGTTGGGTTCCTCATAACCCTCATATCCCTACTCAGTTTCTATCCTCTGTTTATGACTTCCTCCTACTGTGTCTGTTTTCCCTTTGGGGAAAACATTTATGTGTACATCATCTATTGATACAACAACAACAACAACAACAACAAGAAAAGAGATGCAATGAATATTTCACAGAAAAGGGAAGAAGAAAATCACACGGTGTTAAATAACTTCCTGCCTCTTCTACTATTGCACAGATTTTGTGCTGCAATAGCTCCAAAATCTGTAGTATTCCCAGTCAGAAGCAAGGCAAGTCCGTGAAATTCACCAAGGGAATGCAAAGGAACCAGTAGTTTTATCTGCAGGATTACGAGACCTCTTGAGGACATTCTACCAGGCCCATTAGCACATCCATCATAGCCTTTGCTATGGCCAGATGCAAGGTGGTGCATCCCTCTTGGTCGCAGTGGAGCATGGCAACATCTGCTGCTCTGCCTTGGGGATACAACGAAGTCAGCTTCCCATGTTATTGCACTGCTGATGGCACCATGTTTGTTATCCGGACCTCTCTGCTGAGCTTGCAAGCCTGAATCTGCCCCTTTTGATCTTTCAGATGCTGCTTTGGTTGGTCAGTTGTTCTGCATTTGCTGTTCTCTGTGTAGGGGTACACCAGTAATGGGTTTTTGCTTTATATGTTGGTTGAGATTCCAGGTACAAGATATAGGGACCATTGCAACGTTTGGACAGGTATAAGGCATGATCATTGACTCTGCACTCCCTGGTCCACAGCGTGCAGATATTGAATGACTGCTAGGCCTGAGGACAGCAAAGCAATCAATACTTAGATCTCATTCACCCAGTTTCCTTCTTACGGCCTCCAAAAAAGTTGCAGTATGTTTCTACATCATCCTTCCAAGACAAAAGAGGCATCACTCATACATCAAAAGTAAGTGGAGTTCCTCATTCATTGACTGGAGCATAACTGAGAATTCCTGAGAGGAATTATGGTAGACTGTGAAGCAATGGAAACTTTATACAAGAGCTCGGAGAGGAAACACACAACAGGGTTGCCACAAGGGAGCAGATCCAGGTCCCTTGCCGCATCAGCAGGGGTTCAGTGCAGTTGATGCAGAACTTGCTGCAATGTACCAGCCCCAGTGCTTCAGGGACACTAGGGACTTGTCACATCTGTGCGATCCAATGTGAAGGGATGGTAAAACATATAACGGATGTACCTGAGTGTGCCTTGCAAGTATTTGCTGCCTCTGGGACTTAGGAAGCCTCTGCAGTAAATATTCTGTTGCCAAGAACCACAAGCAGACCTAAGATGGAAAGCAGGACCCATGCCTGAAGCCAAAATAGCCAGGAACAATAAGTGCCCCTTGCTAAAGAAAATGCAAATGGGAGTTCTTTGGTTTAGTGGTTCTCTCCATTATTAGATGCTTGTTCATCACCATTGCTAGAATAGCCAACCCTGGTCAATAAAGCTCAGAACAAGCTCAGAGCCCCATGTACAGATCTTCCTATTTGGGGCACCATGGATAAATTCCACATACCTGCATGTAGGCCATCCATTAATGCCAGGCCATCGGCATCCTCCTGGCACCATTTTTGTCATGGATAAACTCCATTTGCTTCTATTGGTTTATCTTTGGTACTTGTATGGTTAACGTGCGCACAAAATGGAGAGGGCTGGCTTGCCATGCCTTGGTTTTTTAAAAATTCTCCCTTGCAGATGCCGCTGTGCCAAATACTTATGAGTACATGTGTGTAGGCAGATTAGGTCCTTCCGCTGTTCTACTCCTCTGCAAGACATTTCATGTTTGTTTGGGTACACTGTGCTGGAAAGCAAAAGAAAAAACAAATTCATTGATGTGCAGCCAAATCAGACACATGGCTGCCAGGAAGGAATAGTTTTGTCTACAGGATGTGCAAAAGCACGCCTATGATAAAAAACAGAATGTTTCTGTTTATCTATCAAATTTATATAGCTAACCCATGTCATGCATGTGATTGAGCCTAATATATAACAGAGCTAAAATATGCAGTTAATAAATATTAATATAACATAATAATAATTATTATTAAAACATTAAAAAACTAAAGAAGAAAGAATTAGGCAAAGACATTAATAAAAATATAGCCACCTTAATAACTCACTATAGAACAATTCATAATTCACCAATGCAGTGGGTTTAATTTATGGATTCTCCAAAAGGACCACGAATGTACACAATATCCACCAAATAAGAACTTACCCTACTAGGTCTATGGACATCATGTCAATGTAATGATGATTCGCAGGGAACACTGTAGCAAAAGCGATTTTGTGATTGCCATTTCTGCAAAATTCAAGAAGTCACGCCGCTCCTACATCTAACTGCCATTAAGTTAATGATTTAAGAAGTCATTCGCTTGGTGCCAGGCCTACATGAGGCAGCATGCAGCCACTTGTAGGAATGAGATAGAGAAAGCATTCAGGCCATTGAAGCATGATGATAAAAAGTATGTGTGTTGTCGTCATCATCATCATCACCACCACCATCCTCCTCCTCTTCCTCCTCCTCCTCACAATCTTCATCATGATATATGGCCTGGTCAGTTCATTAGTGAGCTCCTTGTCCCTTCAACTAAGTGATCCATTGTTTTTTCACATTATTATGATTATGATTCATCACACAGTCAGCCAGATGTTCAGACTGGATTTGAGATGTTTATTCACTGACTGCATACTTCGCAACAATCTGGGAGAGTCAGATGTTGATGTTTGATGGTGTCAAAGGTATTGTCAAAGGATATAAGCTGTTCTGAGTCAATCTCTGTATATTTGCGATGGATAAACCTCTTTCCTTCCATTAGTTCTACAGCTGCTGGCCATGGTTGCTCATGGTTGTCTTGAGTCCTGCAGCCCATTTTCACTAGATGCCCAGGAACTCCAACATCTAGCATGGTCCTTATTGACCTGGGGTGATGACCAAGCTGGTATGTGTTTCTGTAAATTATGTCTCAACATTTTTTTTTTTATGAGAGGAACACTGTTCGTCTGACTCCTCTGGTCAGATTTGTTTACTATGGTTAAGCTCTCATCTTCCTCAGAACACACAAGCCCATCAAACCATGTCAAGGCAGTACCTCACTTTGTTATTGGTTTGATGCTGCACAACATTTGCAAAAGCAAGTACATATCATGCTGCCTACTGACACAGGACACAGGGCTGTGGTTGTTCACCCAGAGGGAGACACAGTGATCTCATAACCAGCACTAAGTAGTTGAGGGCTGAGTTGGTACTTTAGCAGACCTAATTTGGTCATGCAAATGCAGTCATATTATGCAGAAATCTGCAGAGCAGTAATTCATATATATATATATATATATATATATACGAGTTACATGAAATAAAAATAGCAGCTGTTTAATCTATATTGTTATAGATTAATTATTATACAGGCAGCAGAAATGGAAGTTTGATCGCTTAGGAGATAATTATGCAGTTATATTGTATCAATCTCTAGTTAGTTTAGAATCAGGAAACATTTTCACATATGTCATGTAGAGTATATTGGGAACATGCAGTGTCAAAGTACAGAGAGAAGCTGCTCATAAAATATAAAATATGATCCCATAATAATATAACTTTGCCATTCAGCAACATTTTGAAATCACTGCTCAATCACCTTTCTTGTCTATAAATACCTACTGCCACCCCAAATTCACTACCCCAATTTTTAATTTGGGCCAAAAAGGTAGTGCTTTAAAGCAGAGGTCCCCAAACTTGGAAACTTTAAGACTTGTGGATTTTGACTTCCAGAATTCTCCAGCCAGCTATATTTGAAGTCCACAGGTCTTAAAGTTGCCAAGTTTGGGGACCTCTGCTTTAAAGAAACAGGCAGAAGTAAAGTAGGAAATAGTCCTGCAGTAGATTAATTCAGGCTGAGAATATTCATAAAGTATCATAAACTTTAGCTGGTAAGAATTGAGGCTGTGTGGACAGCTACAGTACATGCGCCCCTTAATTGGCATATGCTATACCTCTGTGTTGTGGGCCGTGTTGGCTGCTCTTTGCTTCTGAGTACAATTCAAGGTGCTGATATGAGCTATAAAGCCCTTCATGGACTGAATTATCTGAAAGATAACCTCTCTCCAATTACATCTAGGTTTAGCAGGAGGGGCATGCTCCAGCTCTGGTCAGTGGCTTCCACCCTATAGACATAATTTCCTGGAGGTCAGAATGGTCCCAAACCTGTTGGCTTTTCACAAAAAGCCCTGACAATTTTAAATTACCAATATATTAAAACACTGATTTGCTCAAATACTATGACACGAAAGTGCTAAAACGCCACCTTAGAATATACTCTTCGTTACAGTATCCTATCTTGTGT